TCACTTATCCTTTTAAAATATTGGCACAGCCGTTATACCAATGTTGTTAAACTGATACAGTTATACTGGTGGTATCCCCAGGTGGACATACTTATCTCAGAATAAGAGTGTGGGTTTTTTGGTTGAGCTTAAACCCCTTCCAAAGTGACACAAGCTAAACTGAAAAAAGGCACTTTCATACTCGAGTGTCCATCTAGGGAGTTATTCTGTTGTAACTATATTGGTTTAAATTCACACCTTAGCTTATAACTTTGCTGTGTAGATGAGCATTTCTGGGCCTCAGTTGTCCTTCTCTAAAATGCTGTAGTAGCGCTTCCCTGTCTTGCTGGGATTTTGGAAACATAAACACATTAAAGACTATGAAGGTGTCAAGATACTTTGGTAATGGGTGCCATAAAAGTACCTAAAATGGATAGTGGGAGTAATGGTAGTAAACACTGTACCTGGTAATAAGAGTTGGCAAGATGAGGACTATTGTTTGTGTATTATTACAACACAAGCAACAAAACATGCTTGATGTTTCTCAGTGTTTTACTTGAAAAACTTCAAAATTGAGTACAGTCCATCATTGGCAATATCTTAAGGGGAAAGGGCACACTTGTGAATCCTACTGCACTAAATTAAATGTTAATAGATGAGGAGTGGTCACAGGTGGTTCCTGATGTGTTATAAAACAGTTAACCGAGAACATTGACTGGAAGTCTGTTTTCATATTGTCAAGGTTCCTTCCCCACTCTGAACACTAGGGTACAAATGTGGGGACCTGCATGAAAAACCTCCTAAGCTTATCTTTACCAGCTTAGGTCAAAACTTCCCCAAGGTACAAAGTATTCCACCCTTTGTCCTTGGATTGGCCGCTACCACCACCAAACAAATACTGGTTACTGGGGAAGAGCTGTTTGGAAACGTCTTTCCCCCCAAAATACTTCCCAAAACCTTGCACCCCACTTCCTAGACAAGGTTTGGTAAAAAGCCTCACCAATTTGCCTAGGTGACTACAGACCCAGACCCTTGGATCTTAAGAACAATGAACAATCCTCCCAACACTTGCACCCCCCCCTTTCCTGGGAAATGTTGGATAAAAAGCCGCACCAATTTGCATAGGTGACCACAGACCCAAACCATTGGATCTGAGAACAATGAAAAAGCATTCAGTTTTCTTACAAGAAGACTTTTAATAGAAATAGAAGTAAATAGAAGTAAAGAAATCACCTCTGTAAAATCAGGATGGTAGATACCTTACAGGGTAATTAGATTCAAAACATAGAGAATCCCTCTAGGCAAAAACTTAAGTTACAAAAAAGATACACAGACAGAAATAGTTATTCTATTCAGCACAGTTCTTTTCTCAGCCATTTTAAGAAATCATAATCTAACACGTACCTAGCTAGATTACTTACTAAAAGTTCTAAGACTCCATTCCTGGTCTATCCCTGGCAGAAAAACAGCATATAGACAGACAGACCAGACCCTTTGTTTCTCTCCCTCCTCCCAGCTTTTGAAAGTATCTTGTCTCCTCATTGGTCATTTTGGTCAGGTGCCAGCGAGGTTACCTTTAGCTTCTTAACCCTTTACAGGTGAGAGGAGTTTTTCCTCTGGCCAAGAGGGATTTCAAAGGGGTTTACCCTTCCCCTTATATTTATGACACATATTTTGACACAATCATACAGAAGATCGTTCCATAGTTTTATTGCTCAGTGATATTAGTAAATACACACCCACATAGGCAATCCTCAAAGCATAAGTAAATATACTGTTATGGTCTGCATATTGAATCAGTTTTTGTCTTTTTTGTCTTTTCACTAACCTTTGGAAGAGAAGAGCCAACTTCTGCAATGGTTTATAGGTCCTGCAAAGTAATTAATTGCATTGGGATTGCGTAGGTTATAAATAAGGCTAAGATTTAGTCATGGGTATTTTTAATAAAAATCATGGACAGGTCATAGGCAATAAACAAAAATTCATGGCCTGTGACCCGTCCATGACTTTTACTATAAATAGGCCTGATGGCCAGCCCTTGCTCCAGTGGCGGAAGCTGACTGCCCCTCGGCCACCCACTGCTCCGAGGATCCCGGGGACCACTACTCTGGGTCCGCTCTGGGACTGCTGCTGCTCCGGGACCGCTGCTCCTGGGCCACCCCAGGACCGCTGCTGCTCCATGGCCCCTGGGGCCAGCCGGATCGGGCCACTTGAGCAGCAGCTGGTGCAGCTGGCCCCAGGACTGCCTGAGCAGCTGGCCTCAAGCCGCTCCAGCAGTGGCCGGTGTGGCTGACCCCAGGGCTGCTCCAACAGTGGTGGACCCAGAGCTGCCCCAACAGCGGTTGGTGCAGCTGGCCCTGGGGCCGTCTCAGTAGCTAGCTCCGGGGCCAGCTGCTGGGGTGACCCTGGGGTCAGCTGCACCGGCCGCTGCACCTGTGGAAGTCACAGAGGTCCAGGAAATTCATGGCATCCGTGACCTCCGTGACAGACTCGCATCCTTAATTATAAATTAATGCAGAATTTGGCCACTGGTATCTCGGTTAATGTGTTTGTGTGCTAATCCTCATGTATCTCTCTTAATGTTTTCTTTGTGACTTTTAGCACTTTGTTTCCAGCCATTGTTCATGTGGGTAGCTTTCAAGGGGTTTGATGCACTTGCAGTTTTATGATCTGAGTATGTATTACTGGGTGCCCTGTTAGTGTTACTCCTTCTGTCTCCTTAGTTTGCTGTTACATGTTCTTAGGATCCCAAACTGGCTCTAGAATTCAAATTCAAGCAGTTGGGAGTCAATATGCAAATACTTACATGATGGTCTCTCTTTTTTTTTTTTTAAGTACTTGTGTAGGGGTGCTTTTTGAAAAATCAGGACAGCTTAGTATCCGTGTTCTGCTGTGATTACTATATTCTGAACTGTTGTGTGAGACCCTGTTTGAGTCTTAGTCCCAGTTTCTCACTTCTTGGAAAGGCTGCTGAGTCTCTCAGGGAAAGGAGTTTATTATGCCACTTGACAGTGATCCCTCTGGTTGATCAAACTGTGTCAGCAGTCTCTGAACAGAATCCTCTCCCGGAAGGATGCGGGATGGCGGTGACACTAAGCCTTGAGGATGGGAGAGGTAAAGCAATGAAAAACTTGGGGCTCTTCGAGCCTCCGACAGTTTCTCCAAAATGATGCTCTTCAGAATCTGACCATTGGATGGGACGGAGCTAAAGTATAATCTAAGTATGGCCCAAAAATGAAATGAATACTTTGCCTCAGTTTTCAGGGAGGATGATAATATGGAACATGTGCGTGAAGGCAGTATGGCTGAGGGAAGTTAGTGTCTAGAAATGGAAATTTCAGGTGGAAGAAAATCTTAAAGAGCTTGATGTACTCCAGTCAGGGGGATTGGATAATTTCCATCCCAGAATACTGAAAGAACTAGCACATAAGATTGCTGGTCTTGTAGCAAGGATTTTTAATAAATCTATCTATTTAGGGGTAGAACCATATAGCTAACATCATACCTGTATTTAAGAAAGGGGAAAAAATGTGATCCAGGCAATTACAGACCTGTTAGTCTGACCTCAGTAGTATACAAATTAGAACAAATTGAGAAGGAAATGATAATTAAATTAATGGAAATAAATGGTAAAGGGAATGTTGAGACATTATTGACATGAACTGTGACCGTATAGATCATTGTTGCAACCAAGGTCCTATAGTTGCACCAAATCTTGTATAAAGAAGGTCAAATAAGGTGTCTATGAAAAGGTTGTAATTTGCTGGTCATGATTATGCTGTCTGTATGTGTCTATTATTTTTGTATTTGAAGTTATGAATATTGGCTATGTACTTGTATCTCAATGTGTTCGATTCTAAGTAGCACTAGTGAAGCAGTTGGCCAGCTTATTGAGAAGGGACTCTTTAGATTAAGTGCCCAATCAAGAAACACTTAACTGACAATGGACCTTGGGAGACTCCAAACACTTAACTGAGAATGGACCTTGGGAGACTCCAATCCACATATGAGGAATCTTCCTGGGAACGTTCAAGGTAGCATGTGAGCAATGGTTGCTCTACCTGTAAAGAACTGAGTCATGCATGGACATGTGATTTGCCCATGTGACTCCAAACTCCATCTTGCTGCTGTGCTGTGGATGTACTCCAGAGACAGATTTGAGCCTGCAGTTTATTCCATCACTGCTACAAGCCTGAACCAAGAACTTTGCGATTGCTGTATGCAATTGATTACTTTGACCAATTTTAAGTCTCATCTATATTTCTTTCTTTTTATGAATAAACCTTTAGATTTTAGATTCTAAAGGATTTGCAACAGCGTGATTTGTGGGTAAGATCTGACTGGTATATTGACCTGGGTCTGGGGCTTGGGCCTTTGGGATCGGGAAAACCTTTTTTCTTTTACTGGGGTATTGATTTTCATAACCATTCATCCCCATAAGGCGCGGTGCTAGTGGTGATATCGGGAAACTGGAGATGAGACTCGGAAGGGGAGGAGGGCATGGCTCTGAGTTGGCACCAATAATTCTTTCTCTCAGTTGCTTTGCTGGCTGGTTCTTGCTCATATACTTAGGGTCTAACTGCTTGCCATATGTTGGATCTGGACAGAATCTTCCCCCAGGTCAGATTGGCCATGATCTTGGGATTTTCTTCACCTTCCTCTGCAGTATGTAGGTGTGGGCTGGGTATATCTCACTTAATCATTTCCCTGCCATTGTGGAGGCCTTGATCACTGGTGCACATTGGTCCCTCATGTTCACTGCCTGTGGACATAATAGTGTAGTCTCCTATAGTCTATAATACTGTGGTCTAATTTTGGTTGTTGGGTTTAGTGGTGTTGTAGCCTTTGAGTTACAGGAGGGCAGACTAGATGATCTGGTGGTCTCTTCTGGCCTTAAACTCTATGGCTCTATGACTCTATAACATTTGAACCTGGGTCTGCCATGTATATAACTGAGCAGCACTTTTAAGATTAAAATGTTTTAAACATCCCGCATAATGTGTGTTTTATTTTTCTTGCAGATTAAACCAGTAGTTCATAGTAAAATACGTGTGCCTTCCAGGTGGCAACTGATCTATAATAAGCCACGTAATATCAAGTAAGTATGTTGTGAATCAAAACTCTAGATTTGGTTTTAAATATTCTGCAAAACTCCAAATGTCTAGTTCAGTGGAAAGATTATGTTTATAATGAAGCCCAGGTACAACAAACGTAATTTGGAAGGGCCAAATTCAGTCTTGATTTACACACTGTGTAGCTCCTATTAATTTAAATGTAATTTGTATCATGTGTGAGCCAGAGCAGAATTTGGGTCCCTCTATCATTGTGGAGGGATGGAGGGAGGGGCGAGAAAGAGGGCACCACATTCCTTATAATTATATTGATTTTTTTTTTTTTGCAGCAAACTATTTTTTGGAAAAAAAATTACATATTCTAGGGAGTTATGTGATGTAGCTTTTTTGTGTCACAGATAATATTGTAAAAGGACACTTAGGATGAAAGTCATATTTAAAAAAATCTGTATTAGAATCACTGAAATAGATTTTTAAAACAGTGAAGTGCCATGAATGGAGGGATCAGAAATGAGCAGATTCTCATAGGGGTATAGAAGGAGGGAGTTCCAAAGGGATGGTCACACTTGATATTGATCTGTGGTGAAATATACTGCCCTCCATATGTTGTTAATAAGGAAGCGTGTTGTATGGCTGCACTACCTCCACTAAAAGTGTGATGTTCTGCGGGCAGTGGAAGCAGTGCAGTTCTGTTGCACAAGAAGTGGGGAAGGAATAACTGGATGTGGAGGAGAAGAGCCAAAAATGCGTTGTGCCTTAACATATGATGCCACTTTAAGTTCCATTTGAGAGAACTACAGTGGTAATACTCATAGGTTACTTAAAGCGATGAGCATTCCAAGAAGAGCCCTTTTAAAAGTTTATGTATTTTATTTACGTATTTTTTCAACTTTTAAAATGCCCACTGTTCCCACTGGATGCATGTACAAATATTTAAATTACAAGAAGTGACAGAATCCAAAAGACAATAATAAGATTATCTGAATCCCACCAATTAATCATTAAGCCTCTATCATCACCCTCTGCCAACAATTTATCTTTCCTAGTTGAAGCTTGGGAAAAATAAATGAGGTTGCACTAGGACCTAAAGTTAACAGATTTGGGCTCTGGCAAATGTAGAATTCATTTTACACCTCCATTTGAGGATTCTACTCTAAGAATGCCCTGCCTTCCATACTCCATGCAATTAAATAAAGAGATTTTTAGCCCAGGAGTTTTGTATAATCTCATCTGTTATGGTATCATGTGGGGAAAGAGGTGGTTTCAGATGTAATCATGATCCAATCCATTCAAGGCTTTTGAGGTCAAACCCAATAACTTTTAAATTGCATCCAGAAGTAAATAGGAAGCCAGTGCAGTTTTCAGAATCCAGAGGTATTGTGCTTCTGGTGATAAATGTAACTAACAAGCTAGTGCTGAAATATTTAATCTTCCATAGCCTTAAAGCAGTTCAAACTAATTTCAGCATCAAACCCAAAAAGAGTTGAGATTAAAAAATGTAGACTAAAGAGTATTTATGATATCACATATGATTTGAATTGCTACTTCAAAGAAAGGAAGAGGGTGTTTATTTATATACATAACTCTCAAACATTGGATGTTTTCCATGAGTACATTAATATAACTGAACTTAGAGATAAAAAAGACCCATTAGGTCATCTAGTTCATTCCCATGACAGTCATGGCTTGCTCCCTACAATATGTTTTCTAGTGCTTTGTCTAATCTAGTTTTAAATTATTAAATTAAATTGAAATTGGACCCTCCAAATCATCGTTCGGGATTATTCTATGGTTTTATATTTCTCACCAACAGGCACTTTTCCCCTTGTGTGGGCTGTTTTGTTCTTAATTTTATTCTGTAAAAATTATATCCATTAACATAGTTCAGAAAATAATGGTATTTAAAATGTACCATAGCAACACTTTTTTGGTAAATCTAATTCACTGTTTTAATGTATGATCTCTGTGTTTTATATTAATTTACTGAAAATTCCACTAGATGGCCCCAAATATCTTCCAAACCCAGCCTTTCTCATTTTAAAATATTGTTTTAAAGTGGCATCCGGACACACATATCTGCTCTTGACTGCAATTTGACATACTGTATTATTCATCCCAGGAATTATGATTATTATTTTTTATACTTTTTAAGAGTAGAGTTCATGAGAAGCATTGGCCATACAACAATATTAACCTATATAGGGAGTTGTACTATGGCACAATGTGTAACTTCAATGTGTATTTACAAAATATAGTGCACAGATGCTCTTGGAGAAAAAGGCATAATGAGGAAAATTAAAAGTCAAAGGGATGGGTGGAAGCCCCAGTGCATAGGGTATTTAAAGCTGAACTGAATAAAACACTTATACATTCATAATAGGCAATTAATTAATTATTACAGTGTTCAAACATATGCTAGGTGCCCTGAATTACACGTAACTAGTACCTGGTCCCTGTTTCAAGTGACCTATAATCTAAGTTCCCATGTGATGTAATAAAACAGTGTTGGGATGGAGAAGGAGAAACATGAAGGTAGAGTCTCACAGGTATTGCAGCAGCTTTTCAGCACTTGGGCATCATAAAGTGGTTGAACTCCCGCTATAGCTGGCCAGTGGAGAATTCTTCTTGCGTAGCAAAATTCTCTGGCATAAAGCTAGCAGAGCTGGCTCCTTTTCCAGCCCTCCCCTCTTGCCCCAATGTAGCATTCTCCAAAATGCTACATTCATTCTGCACAGATGCAAGGTCAATTATGGAACTTACAGCAAAGGTGGGAGTTAGAACAGGCTCTCAACTACTATATACTGGTGTAGGATCTGGAAGCTGTAACTAGTGGAGACTCTCTAAGCTGATGGGAGAGAGCTCTCCCATTGACTTAATTACGCTACCTCTGCAAGAGGTGATAGCTATGTTCTCCCACTGACCTAGCGCTATCTACACCGGCACTAACTTTGGTGTAATTTATGTCGCTCAGGGGTGTGGATTATTCACTCTCCTGAGTGACGTAAATTATACTGAAGTAAGTGGTAGTGTAGACAAGAGTTGAAAGGGAACAAAATAAGGGAAGAGAAAAAGGGGAAGGGAAACATGGTTTTAATAGGACTAACATTTATGGAGTCGGTATTACTCACTGTGAGTGAGAGTCGCAGCATATGACCCTGAACATTCAGTTGCTACATACAGGCCATATACTATCTGTGATCTCTGTGCAAACCTCCCACTTACAATGTGGGAGATCTGCTCTTGCGTAAATCTGTTTTTACATAGTAAACAGCCGAAGTGTATATTCCAGTCCACCAACTATACCTACGAATGTAGCTCAGCCCTCCACACAGGAGGAGTTTGACAGCCCTGCTTTAGGGCTTTTGTGTAGGCTGCAGTCACCTGATGCCAATTCTTGTGTACACCACATGGTTGTAAAGCATGGTTCAGCCTCATGCAGTTTTGGCATTTTGGATGTGCCATACTATGCTAAGCAGAACCAGATACGTAGCACGGTTTGGTGCTTCAATGTAGGCAGGTCCACAAAAAATGTAGTCAGTTTTGGATTGTTGCACTAATCATTTTTGTTAATGGGATAAAATCTCATTAGAATGTTAGTGGCATCATGAAGAGTAATAAGGAAATAAAACATATTCAAACGTTGTTCAAATCACCATCTGTGCTTTATAGAGACAAGACGGTCGGGTTGAACTAATAGACTAGTTTTAGTCTTTTTAATTTAGCTGGTTTGAAGAAGAGAGGTGCTTTCTCTCCACTCCCTGGGTTAGCCAAGCTGCGCTCCCCCATAGCTGGTCCTCTTCCTTGGTGAGAAGGTCAAAGCTTCTCCTGTTTCAATCTACTTTGGCCTGCAAGATCCCTCACCCTTTCTAGGGAGAGAAACCCTATTATCTCCTTGAAATTGCTCCCTATGTAATCAGCACAAGTGTGTGGGGGTGGGATAGCAGAAGCTGCTTGTTCTTCTGAGAGAAAAGAACACCTATGCCTCAAAAAAGTCTGGGTGGAGTGTGTGGCGGTAAGGAGAAATATCAATGTACAACTATGTGGCTATGCAGGGGGAGAGCTCATTTCACACTGTATATGGGTTACCTTGACTGCCCCCTCCTCCTCCATCAAAGGAGCACATCCTCTGTCATTCCTCAGAGTTTCTGTCCATTTTGTGGGCTAGGGATGCTGCTTTTCTGCATGTGAAGAAGCACAAGTGCTCCTTCCCCTCTACAGCAAAATGTTCTAGGGCCACTGGAGTTACTGGAAGCCGCACCAAGAGCCTGAACATTCTCTGCAGTCAGCCAGTGCTTACTCTTGGCCCTGCCCCCTGCTGCTGATATAAAATGCCACCTTCCCAGCAGAGAGTGAGGCTGCTTTTGTGGAGGGGGCCTATAAGGCTGATGGCCCAAATAGCAACATTATTTTTAAAGAGACCAACACTGCTCTATTCTTTACTGTGACTCCTTCTAAGAAGTGAGGGGTCAGCCAAAAAGTGATTCCAGCTACTCTTAAAGGTTGAGTAGGAACAGCTTTCTAATATGGGCACCAGTGAAGAAATCAATTGATTCTATTATCTCTTTTAAAGGATTGTACATTATTTCCTCTGGGAATTGTGAGGACATCTTTGGACAATATGGAGAGAAAGTAATTGAATTTTCAAGGGCTATATTCTTCTTGGCTTCTCCAAGTGGACATATTTCACTGACTCTCCCATCATGTCAGACAGAAACATATTAAAGGATACAATTCTTTCTTTTTATGGATGAGTTTTATGAAATGGACTAAGATTTAAAATGTATTGTTGAAATCTTCATGGCTACACTACTAACGATCCAGATTACATAAAGTTGTCAACTGATATTTTTAGTTTTTCTTTTGTCTATGTCTTTCACTACTGAAGAAATATGGCTTTTTTTTGTCTTTTGGCAGTGTTTTCACAAATGGAGATATGCTTAAACCACCTGTAAAATTTATTATACCCAGGTTTACTTTGAAAAGCTGGAATTGCGTCCTTGCACTAATAAATGAAAAAATCTTTCTTCGCTGCGGTGGTGTTCATAGGTAAGATTACAACTGGTAATTTAATACAAAAGTCCTGAGTCTTGCAATTTAGGGTTCTTTTTGTATTCATATGCTACACCAGTTATTAATGACAATCTAATATTTTGATTGGTTGTGTATGAAAGAAAACGGAATATGAAGGGCAGGACTTTTCCAGGTTTCTGAGAATTTGTGTTTCCTATTGCATTTAGTTTAGTACCTTTTTATATATTTTCATTTAATAAATGTTCATAGCAGTTGTTTTGGTTCATCAGGACACCATTGTATGTATCTTTGCTTTAAAAACCTGGTGTTTTGTATTTAGTACAGACATTAATGGAGAAGATCACAAGAGTAACATAAAAGACACCTTTTCTACCCTTGAAAAAGAACAATCTTTATGGAAGGGCTGGGGTCAGGAAGATAAAATGGACTAGTGTTAACATAATGGTGAAGATAAGATTAACCAATGCTTTAATTGTGAAATAGTGCGTCAAATTTATAACTGGCGTAACTTCAGCTGACTTCCTGTTTGGCTAAGGCTGTTGTTTTATTAGTGACTATTTTTTTTTCGTAGTGATCAGAGTGTGTTATGTGGTTTCAAAACAGAAAAGAAGGCATGAAAGGAGGCAGAAAAGAAGACAAATCATGCCCTGAGGAGCTTGCAGTATATAGACAGACGAATGAGGGCAAAAGGAAGGGGTTCAACATATATGCCCAATTTAGATTTTTTTGGGTTCAAAGCTCTTGGATGCCTTTCAAATTAATGGGAAGTTTATTTTCTTTTCTGCTCACAGATCCTCTCCTTAGAATTTAAATAAAATGCGCACACCATGGGCAGACTTCTGTCCCTTCCTCAGCTTAGTAGTTTAGAGACAATCCATACTGTTCAAAGCACCCACTTAGGAAACAGCTTTAAACTGTGAAACCATTTTTGTGATTACACCAGAAAGTATATTATATCCTCCTCACATATGGTAATTAAAAAATGGCTCAACCATTCTTTCTCAGATTTTCCAGGAAAATGTCCCATTAGGTTAAGCGTGTAAAGTTTTGGCACTGTAAGCAGTTTCATTCAGTGCCTCCTGGTGTCAAGCATGGTATTGCAGAGTCTTTGCCCCTAGCGCCCTCTGTTGATCTTTTGGTTCTGCAGCAGCCTGTTTCTGTTCACACCTACCTCTCTGGCTAGGTCATGTCTAGTCCGGACCCCCTTCAGGGGTAACAAAAATAAAAAACACGTTCACATAAACAAAAGGTTAGACTCACAGACTTTAAGGCCAGAAGGGACCATCATAATCATAGTCATTGCAGGCCACGGCATCTTACCCACACTCTTCTGTAATAGGCTCGTAACTTCTGGTTGAGTTACTGAAGTCCTCAAATCTTAGTTTAAAGACTTCAAGCTACAGATAATCCATCATTCACTCTGGTTCAAACCAGCAAGTGACCCCATGCTCCATGCTGCAGAGGATGAGGAAACCCCCCCAGGATCTCTGCAAATCTGACCTGGGGGAAAACTCCTTCCCTGTCCCAAATACGGTGATTAGCTAGACTCTGAGCATGTGGGTGAGAACCATTAGCCAGACACCTGGAAAATAATTCTCTTGGTAAGTATCCATCTCATTTCTTATCTCTGACTGCTGGAGATATTTGCTAATAGAAGTTGCATATGCCATTATAGGCAGTCTCATCATACCATCCCCTCATAAACCTATCAAGCTCAGTCTTAAAACAAGTGAGGCTTTTTGTCCCCATTACTCCCCTTAGGGGGCTGTTCCAGAACTTCATTTCTCTGATCGTTAGAAACGTTTGTCTAATTTCAAGGCTAAACGTATTGATGGCCAGTTTATATCCATTTGTTCTTGTGCCAACATTGCCCCTTAACTTAAAAACTCCTCTCCCTCACTGGTGTTTGTCCCTCTGATGTATTTATAGAAAGCAATCATATTTCCCCTCATCTTTCATTTTGATTAGGCCAAACAAGCCAACCTCCATGAGTCTCTTCTTGTAAGGTAGGTTCTCCATTTCTCTGATAATCGTAGTAGCCCTTCTCTGCACTGGTTCCAGTTTGAATTCATCTTTCTTAAACATGGGATTCCAGAACTGCACACACTTTTCCAGATGAGGACTCGCCAGTGCTTTGTATAGTGGTAATAACACTTCCCTATCTCTATTGGAAATACCTTGTCTGATGCATCCTAGGATTGCATTAGCCTTTTTTTCACAGCCACATCACACTGATGGCTCACAATCATACTGTGATCAACCAGTAGACCCAAGTCTTTTCCCTACTCTGTTGCTTCTAGATGATATGTCCTCAGCTTTTAGCAAGAATTCTTGTTGTTAGGTTCTTAAACCTTCCTTGGGCTCCTCTTCAGCCTGCTGTCTGGACTCTCTTCCCATCCCTTCTTCCAGACACTGCTTCAGGGCCTTCCACAGAAGCCCCGGTGTGATTCCTTCTGCAAATAGTCTTGTCAGCCCTTTCATGAGGCCTAGATGTTTCAGGCTGTCACCTGACCCCAATTAGTTCTGCCCCTTCTGACTAAGATGCTGTTGACTATTGCTGAGGTGGGCTGATGGAACAGGCCTAGTTAGCTCCATGCTTCTTGACCCATAAAAGAGCAGGACAACCTACTCCAAGCTTAAAAGGGAAATTTTGGGAAAGATATAAACAGCTGAAAATCTATATCTGTTCTGTTTTCTCCACTACCTTATTTACACTTCTGTTCATATGTCAGGAAGCGTGCATATTCAGATTTGATTAAATTGCCTGCTATCCATACTCACTACAGTATTTCAAATATCCATAACCACAAATTAAAAACATTTTTTCTGTTAGCAAATGCACTATGCACAGAGGACTAATTCGATGCTAAGTTTGAGTTTTCTGCACCAGAATTTTGAAGTCTGAGGTCCATGCACAAAAAACATGTGCAGGTTTGTGGCACTTAGATTTTGGCATCTACCTATCTGTGTTTGGAAATCCTGATTTGCACGTTACAGTAATTGTATGCAAAAATGTAGGTGAACAAATTTATGCACTTTTTTTGCAATGGAACGTGGGCCTCTCCCTTTAAAACTAGAGTGCCAGATCTTCAATAATTTCCAGTCCCTCAACTCCCATTGGCTCAGTTCCTTGCAAGAGGTGTGCAGCACCTTTGGGGAAGTAACTCGTGGCCCTTAAGGTTCAGCAGTTTTTGTGTTACCGTATGTGCATAAAAAAAAATCTTGGTCAGAATGAGAGTAATTTTCCCTATCTTATTATAACTCCAAACTGACTAAATGGATTTTCCTCGGTTTTTATAGGAAAACCCATCATTCGGAGACAAAGCATGGATATGTTCAGCCAAAACATGAAATTTTTAGAAAATTTTACCAGCTTCTCAGCTAGTGAAATTGGGCATAGCTTCACTTAGCTACACCCATTTACACCAGCCGAGTATCTTCGCCATTGTGTCTGCATTTAATAGAAAGCAATTGTAACCTTAACTATAGCTTTTGCTCTATAATTGTAGCTGTTTCCTTTTCTATTGCATCATCATCATCAGGGCAAAGCCCGAAAGGACATGGCCTTCTTGCATATCAAGTGCCACTTGGATGGATCTCTGGCTGCATCCCTAACCTGAATTGACTGAATTGACAAATATTCAGATTATGTCCATTACTGGCAGTCGTGTCATTCCATAGAAACTTCTGGTGCACAGGTGATCGCCAGCAGTGTAGCAGCATTCCTTGGTATATACACTTTGGAATTCAGTGGTCTTCCATTCTAATGATATGTTCATACCAAGAAAGCTGCTGAAACTGAACCAGCGCTGATGGAGGTGGTTGCTGGGTTTGGCTTCAAATATCCTAAATTTCTGATCTTGTTCTGCCACTTGATGTGAAGCAGCTGACAAGAACTGAAAATGTCAATCCAGTGTTCTTCAGCCTTCCTCAGTTCCCATGTTTCACTGCAATGCTGATTTGCAACTTCATAGGAAGCTTAATGTCACAACGATCCCACAAGGTTGCTGAAGGTCCAAAACATGTCACCAGCTGCTGCTACTATAAGTGTCTATATCTTTTGAACATCCTCCAGCACTATCTATGGTGCTTGCAAATATATAAAATATGTCATTATTATTTAATAAATATTTAATTTGCTTTCTAAGGCTTTGCAATAAAATGTTAAATTGTCCTCCCATATTAAAATAGTAACTTAATTTATGTGTATTGTTAGGATATAGCTATTCAGGCCTGTCTGTAAAGGCCTATACTCTAAGAATTTAGGTGTATTCTTATCACTTGGCTAGTTATAGAGGTATAAAAGGAAGAATCAAAATCACTGTCTGCCGGTGTAAGGTCAGGCTAAGGCCTTTGGCTAAGCAACAGAGGCAGCCATAAGCTGGGAAGTGACCGGTCACATCCTCACATTCCAAACTAGTCACATTGAAAGAAGGTGCTATTGGGCTGTTAGGAATACAATCCTGTCCTGATAATGCCTATCGCCTCCAGAGAAAGGGAAGTGCCTAGAAGATGTAAAAGGAAATTTAGTTTGATAGCATCCTGTCTGGCAAGAACTCACTTATCAATAGCTGGGATGTGAAATCCTCACTTCTGTATTGTTTTGTCATTATAGTTCCCACTTTGCTATTGTTTGTCTGTATAATCTCTGTCTGGTTCTGTGATTGTTTCTGTCTGCTGTATAATTAATTTTGCTGGGTGTAAACTAATTAAGGTGGTGGGATTTAATTGGTTACATAATCATGTTACAATATGTTAGGATTGGTTAGTTAAATTTCAGGAAAATGATTCGCAAAAAAGAAAAGGAGTACTTGTGGCACCTTAGAGACTAACCAATTTAATTGGTTAGTCTCTAAGGTGCCACAAGTACTCCTTTTCTTTTTGCGAATACAGACTAACACGGCTGTTACTCTGAAACAGGAAAATGATTGGTAAGGTATAGCTAAGCAGAACTCAAGTTTTACTACATAGTCTGCAGTCAATCAGGAAGTGAGTGTGTGTGTGGTGGGGGAAATGGGAACAGGGAATGGGGGTGGGGAAATTGGAATCATTTTTAGCTAAAGGGGGAAATGGGAACAGGGACACAGGTAAGGCTCTGTGGTGTCAGAGCTGGGAAGGGGAACACTAAGGAAGGAAACTGGAATCATGCTTGCTGAAAGTTCACCCCAGTAAACATGGAATTGTTTGCGCCTTTGGACTTTGGGTATTGTTGCTCTCTGTTCATGCGAGAAGGACCAGGGAAGTAAGTGGGTGAAGGAATAAGCCCCCTAACATGTATAATTCCTCTGTTCTCCTGAATCACAGCTGGGTGGAGCATTGAAAAAACCCTGAAACTTGCACTGCAAGTCTGAGTATTGCATTATACTCTATTCATTGTTACTTCCTAATCTTTATTTCTATTTCTTTTGCTTAAAGCCTCTACACATTGGATGGTCATGCTGTACATGACTCAGATGGCTTAGAAGATGATCATTATTATGTTGCAGTGGGCAAAGAAAAGTTTAAATCTTTGCCATACTGGCGTTCTTCCAGAGTTTCACCAGAAGTTCAGCGGTAAGCTCTTTCTTTCAACATCCATTTTTTCATGTTCTACATATCTTCCTACCGTATTTTCCACTGCATGCATCCAATGAAGTGGATTTTAGCTCACGAAAGCGTATGCCCAAATACATGTTAGTCTCTAAGGTGCCACAAGTACTCCTTGTTCTTTTTGCTGATACAGACTAACACAGCTACCACTCTGAAACCTCTTTTGTAATGTAATCTTAATTTGGAGGGCTTGATCATACAAGATGCTGAGGACTCTGACAGTGAACCAGCAAAGAACTTAAGCATGCGCTTAATTTTAAGCACACGAGTTGTCCCATAGGATTTCAGAGTTTGACTAGTTCAGAGTCAGAGTGCTCAGTGGGATTAAAGTCCATAGTTATAGTTTCTGACAGATAGATTTTGGATTTTCTGGATTCAATGCATTGTCTCATATTTCTTAGTTTGACTGTATCAATACATTCATTTAACTGAAACAACGAGGAGTCCGGTGGCACCTTAAAGACTAACAGATTTATTTGGGCATAAGCTTTCGTGAGTAAAAAACCCACTTCTTCCATGCATCTGAAGAAGTGGGGTTTTTTACTCACGAAAGCTTATGCCCAAATAAATCTGTTAGTCTTTAAGGTGCCACCGGACGCCTCGTTGTTTTTGTGGATACAGACTAACACGGCTACCCCTCTGATACTTGGATTCATTTCACTGAAGTGTTTCAGTCTTTGTTTTTTTTTTTTAAATATTGAAGGCAAATGGTGACCTAACCTTGCTAATGTTCTTAGTGACTGCTGTCATTGCTAGTTTGTAGATTATCTAACGTATAATAGTAAAGGCAGGGCAAGTGCCGTCTTTGGGAAACTGAGACGTGTTTCTGCATAACCAGCCTTATACAGCTTCACCATTAAAATATCTGCCATTTCTATACTGGCATATATTGGCATTCATTTCTGCAACAAATGTTTGCCAAAGAGTTATAGTATGTGATGCTTTTAAAACACCCTTTCATAGTGCACATTGTTGTTGTGAAGTTTTCTCTGAATTTCTTAATTCTGTGTATTTTAAATCACAGCCTTACCACTGCATTTTCTCTCTCTCTCTCACTCTCAGTCACACACACACACACACATTCATTGCATTTTCTTATTATTTAAACATAATTATCATTCATATCTAAAATGTATTTTCAATTACTTTTACAGGGTTATATTGCTGGAGCTTTTACTTTTTTTAAAATAAAAGCTAAAAGTGTAATTTTATTGAATTCAATTATTAAATTGGTTTCTTTCTTGGAATGTCTGTGAACTGCTTTCTAGACTGTAGAAAATGTCAGTTAAAGGGCACCGACAAAGGTATTGCTGAACAGTGACTAGTTTTCATGCCTATCAGGAATTGCTGAGTTAAGCAGTTTTTGTAAAGTGTCTCTATGGGATGTGTGTTGACTGCTCTGAACTGATTGCTGTACTGAAAATACGGTTGAAGTATCAGGCAATATTTGTGGGTTTTCTAGTAATCTTTGCTAAAGCTATTTTTCTGTCAAGTTTTTTAATGGTCATTATTATCAAGAGAAGAAAAATATCCATCATTTTCTCTCGTATAGTGGAACTGGATGGATGGTTCAGACTGTTCAGCTTATTCATATGGCTTCTGCTTTTTTGTTTTTGTTGTCCTTCCAACTTCATTTTTATTTTTATATTTCACAAAAATACTACAAGCATTAATTTGCAATGACCAATCAGCCGAATGCATGGAATCTCACTTTTTTCCATAAATTGCCTGTTGTATATAAAGTGCTTCATATCAGTTTGATATTAGAAAATTCATATTTTTAGTGGGTTTATTCTTATCAAGCTTTCTTTTATTAGTTTTTGAACTAATGTCATGAATGGTAGAACCTAGACCCAGTAGGATTAGAGTTGATGTTGATCTACACATATCTTTTGGCAGTTTTATCATTTGGAAATATACAAGGGCCTAATAAATTTTATACAGTATAATGCAAAATTACAGCTCTAAACACTAGCTTCCCCAAAAACCCTAATGGTGAAATTCAGCCCTGGTGGAGATAGACAGCTCAAGGTTCTCCACACTGCAGAATTCATCTTGGGGAGCACTCGCCCAGAACGGTCTCCATGCTGGTCAGATGTGGTAGATTCTCTTTGTAGCGATGGTCACAGTCTATAAAAGTGTATTTGGTTGATTGGTCACTGAAATATAAATTATGTGGTGGATTTCTGCATTTTGAGTCTGTCAACTTGTATCTTTCAGACCTTAAATTGGATATACAAGAGAAATTTCAGCTTCCATTTCAGTCTATTGCTTTTGCTTTTTTGGGAATTGTTGGAGACTCCATTAAGTCAGCAGCCTTCCTCCTGTTTCTGGGAAGTTGCTTATCCAGCATTCAGATTTCTTTCAAATGACTGTGTTGTATTAGAATGTTAGAGCTCATAACAGCATTAATCCTAATAGATTTGGCCTGTATACAGTATGCGCACACTTCCTTAGTTTATGCCCACATCGTTTTTCTTCTTCCAGGAGAAATTGCTTGATCAAGACTATTCATCTTTTTCCAACTGTAGTGAAATCAGTTAAGTGGTGGGTTCAGCTAATTAAAGACATGGTAGGATTCCACTATATTAACATTTCTCTGTGGTGATTGGCAGTTCCAATACTACTAATCATTTGCCTGGTAACTTAGAAGGCCCAATTTACTTTTTATCTAACTTTATTGCCAGTGCTCTGATACGGGGTGATAAACACAGTAAAAAAACTTTGATCATCTCATCATTCATAAACGGTTATAGATGAAATGTAAATGATAGGTGATCTGGCATCTGCTGTTCTGGAAATTCTAGTGGCAATCTCTGAATCCTTCCACCTGTTTATATAAATATTGTATTTGAGTTATCATCGTCTCAATCTGTGAATCCAGCTCATCTTTAATTGAACTGTAAGAAGTCTTTATAGAAAGTGATCAGTGTTTTGGATTTCACCTGAAACTGAATTGGCAAACAGCACAGAATATGGAGCACAGAGATACCATGGCTATCAGAACGGGGGCCGGAATATACTCCTCTAGCTAAGGCTGCTGGGTGATTTTGAAGAGTAGTAAATAGGAGGTTAGCATAGAGATCATAGATAATTGTAGCAAGGATTGCATCTGTGATGAAAGGATGCAATCCTTTGTCCAGTTGAAGAAGAAATAACCAGTTTCTAGTCACCCACTGTTATCAGGAGCAGAAATTACACCACTAAAATCCTGAGATTGCAAATCACTTCGAAAATTTGTAGGCAGAGGCCCTCATTTGCAGGTATTGCAGTAACCTCTGCCAACTCCACTTCTCTCTGCCAAAAAACCCCTTATCCCATCTGAACTGACTCTAGTTTCACCAAGGTTCTTATCTCAGCCAGATACTGAGAACACAGGGAAACAGTTATGTTCAGGGCTGATATAACTCAGCTGTAAGTATCCTTTACATCAGCATATCTGTAACACTGTAAACCATAATGCCTTGCAGTCTTCCCCAGTTTCTTTAAATATACATTGAGTAAAAGGGGTCACAACAAGATTTTCAAACTGTGTGAGACTTCACAAGTGATAACACTCAGGGAAGACCTGCCCAACACAGACCTCTGGGCTTTTCCAAAAGGAATGTGTAATCACTTTAATAGCTCTGTCCACTCATTCCCAAATGTGAGTTCTCTTGAAGCTAAGAAATTCCTTATCCATAAAGCCTCTTCTCTTAAGCATATACTTGCTTAGATGGGTGGTATCTGGTAGATTGCTTCTTGTTTCTTTATGTGTATTGGATTTCATTGACATGTCTGGGTTGAAGACTAATCCATCAAAACTCACCTAGGATTGCTTGCAATTGATCTTGTAACGATTGAAGTTCTCCCTGTGAATCATAGGTCAGGCACTTTCTAAAAGGCCTTACATATTTATGTACCAGTTTGGCTTCTGTGCATGATTTGAATCTAATTTAGACTTGAACAAGTGAGAAGATCCTCCCTCTGAGCCTATTAATGATTGTCACTTGCGTTTCATATTCTTTATTTGGGGCAATTACATTAGATAGATGGGGAAGCGAGCTTCAAGCCCTTATAGGCCTTTTTGTTTTTTTCTGAAGGACAAAGTAGGTAGTAAAAGCCCATACAAAGACTGTTAAAGTCAATGGGAGTCTTTTTTTTTATATGAACCAATTTTTCCCTCTTCTAGTGTTCGTTCCCCAAGCTAAGCTGTTTATCATAAGATTGGTGTCAAATGAGCTCTTTGTTGCTACACTTACGATTTGAGGGACTTTTACAAATCCCCTCATCTCCTTTTGACTTATATTGGGTTAAAGCTGAGGGAAACTCATTTTCAAGCTACACTTGTCAGAGTGGATAGTTGAATGTACTTCCATTTGCCTTGATTTAGCTCAGGTGCCCATTCTTAAAGGTCAGTGAACTTATTTTACTGGAATGCCTCTTGTGCAGTCTGTATTGTCAGGTACCTATAGCTGAGTTCCATGTGGTAGAGTTCTTACCACACACTTATTCAGTATATTGACTTGATATATTTCCTGAATAGATACTTTTTTAGAAGACTTATTCTTTATTCTTTGTTTAATAAAGAACAGTTTCTTCTGATAGCTTTGACCCTTCCTGGGGGTACCCAGAGCTGTGAGGCACCTCGCTACAAACCTGTGCCTGCCAGGGGTCAGCTTCCCAACTCCACTGGCTACGGGCAACACAAGCACACCCCAAAAGGTCTGTGCATGCCAAAATGTCTCTTTGCAGGTTAGCAATAGGCACACTCCAACCTCTAAGCATCTCCCTGGAATATCCAGCCCCTGATCCATTGGATATTCACAGTATTTACAGATTTGCTGCTCCCAAAGAATCAATATACCCCAACTTATCAGTTCCACCTTAGATCACCACTCTTCTTAACAGACAGCACTTAGATATGGTTATAATGAAAACAAATATAAGTTTATTTAACAAATGATAGAGATTCTGGTATTAGCAAATAGAAGTATTGGAAACAAATGGTTACATATAAAATACAATCATAACATACATTCTAGACCCTAGACTTATTTACATTGCAGAACAATGCTCACCCAAAGTCCTAGCAGAATTTTACAGCCAGGCTGGGCTGTGATCCCACTTTCATGAAGCAAACACACACTTTCAGTTTGTTTCCTGGGTGAAGGATAAAATCTTGTTCCCTCTCCTTTTTTGAAATTTAGTTACAGGCTATTGTCTCTTACCCCAGTAGGTCCCCTTTTCAGAAACTTAGCTTGGGGTTCCTTTGTTTCTGTAAATTCTCAGGTCTGCACCTGGTTCATATAGGAAACATAGCCTGTCTCCATGGATGTTTTTTGTTCTACATGGTGATTAAGTTAGCTCTGAGGTTCACCTCGCCTCAGGTCACAAGCTTTGCTTCAACCGTTTTGGAACCTAATATTTTACATTTTATATATCTCTTGAACTATTTCCTATACAAACTTCTTGCAACAATTGTGACCAGTGGGCTTCTAGCTTTTGGTAGAGACCTCAGATGCCACACTTTAGTGAACTAATATACTTATATTTAACCCTGTAAAACTGTATGCACCCTACTGTGCCCTCTGTCAGTTGGCACCAGGAGGTCCTTGGGTCATAACAGTATTTGTGGCTCTTTAACAAATTGTTTGCATAGATATTCTGTTTGCGATGTGTGAACCCTTGGTGCATAATCCTGGACCTTTTTGGAAAGCATTGGATGTGCACCCTACTTATGCAGGTAGCATAAATCTATGGAAGCATGCAATCTTTCCCAACCTCCCACAATTTAACTTGGTAAGTAACCGTTCTTTTTCTTCAACAATTCCCACTATAATTGATTAAAAAACAATCCCCAGACCCAAAGGAGGTGGGGTCTGAGGAGCCTTACTTGGATAGATTGCAAGAGTGCTATCCCAGGCTGAACATCTTAGCCTCAAGGGTAGTCCAAGGAGTAATGAAGGTGTGAGCCTTTTATATCTCAACAAAGGGGGCATTAGTGGTTTTTGACTTGTGAAATCTCTTCTAAATGCATGTTTGCTGAACTGTGGGAGAGACCTGATTATTTTAAAGTGAAGAGATAGTACAGATTGAAGAAAATGGAAGACTGGTGACGATGAGATCCTTTTTGTTTTGCTTAAATGAAGAACCTCTTGCATTTCACAGAGCAGAAGATTTTCTGGACTCTCTCAGAGCCATCACAGTCCAAGTTGCTTAGCCAGTTGGCATCTTTGTTCTCAGACTTGGGCACCTTGGATTGAGGTGTAGAATCTGATCCTATTCCTGGGATAAAAGTTCTGGCAGGCTGGGGAGAGGCACTGAAGTTTATGCTGCCTGGACCAGCAGGTTGAACCACCAAAATTGATAGGCCCATTCTAGACCTATGAGTAGTAGCATCTGTATTCTATCTTGTCTGATCTTCATCAGCATTTTGGGATGCGAGAAATAAAAGGGAACACACTGAAAAAACATCTGGTCCAAGAGGGATGCATCTATTGGAGACCCAGGATTATGCACTTGATATTGTGCTGTTTGGCAACCAGGTCTTCTGAAGTGTTCTCCAGACTGGGAACAGAATGTTGATGAATGACACTTTCAGAATTACTCTTACTGTGCACTGTATTTCCAGCTGAGATTTTCCATTAGGATTTTTACTTTTACTGGAAGACAGAGACCTGTGTCTGTGATATGGTGATGAACATGAATTCCAAAATATCATGGTTTTACCACATTGATGTCTTGATAAGGGCAGTTTTGCAATTTATGCAGAGAGCCATACACTTTTGCAAAATGGTTGTACATATACATTTTGCAAAATGTGCTGTTCATTTTTGCATAATATTGTGATTGCCTTCACATTTACTGGAATCAAATCTGGTCTTTGTAGGTTGCTTAGTATCTGTCTTGGTTGTATTCTCCATCACTGGTTGTAATCTCCATCACTGGAGATTTTAAACAGCAGGTTAGACAAACACTTGTCAGGAATGGTCTAGATAATACTTATTCCTGCCATGAGTGCAGGGGGCTGGACTACATGACCTCTCAAGGTCTCTTCCAGTCCTATGATTCTGTGATTCTATTTTTAATTAGATGTGATCAGTTCTTTCACTGCTTGCTAGCATTTTCATTTGTAAGGCGTAGTTTTTGCTAATTCTGCAAATATCCTTTTGTTTGCAAAGTCAAATCAATTTCTCTCAATAACCTAGCAACTAATGTAGTCTCTAATTAGTGCATCTGTTAATTGTTCAAATTCATATGGAGTGATGTGCTCAGTGAAAAGTATATGTATTTGTTTCATCTTGGTATCTCTTAATATATCTCCAGAAACAATTTATGGTGCCACAGTAATATCCTGTGGCGCTATGGCATAATGAATGTCTCCCTGAAGCCTTTCAAAGAACTATGTGGAAAATATAAGCACTAATACAATGAACACAAATACCTGCAATATAAATACTGGACCTCCGAAACATCCTTATTTTTTTATATTTGAATAACTGCAGATTATATTATAATTTAAATAGTTTGTAGTTTTGTTAAAAACTTTGATTTAAAAATATTTTTGTAAAAGTATTTTTGCAAATAGTATGTAGATAATCTCTATATTTTTAAAATTTGCTTTGCCGTTAGGTTTTAATGAATTTTGACATTTTATATTTCTGAGTATTGTTAAAACTGTCTGCCTCAGGTACTTCAAGTACCTGAAGAAGAACTATGTGTAACCTCAAAAGCTTCTCTCTCACCAACAGAAATTGGTCCAGTAAAATATTTACCTCACTCACCTTGTCTCTCAAGTACTTAAAGCAGTCTTTTTTGGAACTTGTTAAATCTGCTGTCCAGTTCAAAAGACTCTATGAAGAGAATTCACATTATTATTGTGCATTGATAGGGACTGGATGATTCAGGGGGATTTGCACAGAGATACAGAACCTTTCACCTGTAGGTAATCAGTTCAATCTAGATCAGTAGTGACTAAAAGTTGTCACCATTTCAAGGTCTTTTGAGGGACCTAAGTAAAGAGAGTTAAAGTTCTAACTGTAGTTGCTAGTGGCCACGTGCATACTTCACAATAATCCCAAATGCACAAACAGAAATCCATTTCAGCCTTGGAAATTGAATGCTTTCACCCTCAAGTCAGCGTTTGAAGCATATTGAGGAATATTGTGCCATCAGTTTTTGGGCAGAATTCTTCTTCACTGGTTTCTGTGGGGATCTCTGCTCAAATAATTATGGCAAGGTATGGCCCATGAGCAGGCAGCTGTATGGGATTTTTCACTGCTGCTTATGATTCTGTGGCTTGACTGACTTTATAGTCATCAGCTACACTACAAGTTGTGATGACATGGACTCAGGGCTGCCAGTGAAGATTAAAATTCACTATGTTCTATGCTAAAAACCACATGATGCTATAACTTACAAAATGAGACCTTGATTTTGGAAACAGATGAACTGGTGCAGAGCCTCATTCCTGCACTGAGTCCTAATAAAGTCAGAAAATATTAACCAAAGGGGTTCTGTGTGGGACTAAGAGTCAGCACTGACACATCTGTTTGCAGGATCAGGGTCTAAATAAGACATCTTCTGTTGCATTAGTATTCAGGTTCATGTCCTAACCACTAGTGGAAGACATGATCACAAACACGTGAGTAGGTCTGAAAGTCCAGCCAAGAGAGGTCAGTGGTGCACATAAAAGCTATCCCATTTCAGTATGTTACAAACTATGCCGTAAACAGGTTCTTGGATCCCAGCAAAAAGTTGTCATTATCTGAAAGTTGCCAATAAGTGAAAGGGCCCCCCATTTTCAAATGGATGTATACAGTACATACCAGTATACATGTACAATGATATACTATAGTCGTATTTTTGTATTGTATTTTTGTTTGATACAATGTTAAAAATAAACAGGAAACATGAAAAAGCCATACATACAAAATTGTTTCCTTTAACATTGCAATTTTTCTCTGTGTAGCTTCTGAAGTAAGATGGTAGGTTAAGCAAATGAAGTAAAACAGTCAGACTGTATTCTCCCTCCCTGCCAACTGTTTATGTGGCAGGCACAGGTAAATTAAAAAAGGAAATTTTGGTATACTTACAGTCAATGCTTCAGGTGTGTCACACAAAGTAAAATGTCACACAGTTTTAAGCCACAATTTGTCCAGTGTCATCACTGTTCTTTAGAATCCACAAAACAACAAATTTTAAAGACACCACACTTCTCAGCTATTCACACTAGCTTAGTCTGGGATTCACATGGGGCCTCTAGAGCCTGAGCTTTACTGGTGAGACAGTCGATAAGTTTGAAGTTGTGACACAAAGCCGAAAGTGCACAACTGTGCAGTGTGTTATGAATGTTGGCTAAAGCATGTACAGCAGTAATGTGTGTGCACTGTAGGTCCGGGAGGTCTGGGAGACACACAAACAGTCATGTACTACCTCACATTTGGAGCCAGCAGATTCATTACAAGTGGAACCTGTTCTAAGTTGTCGATAAGTGACATGAGAGTTGCTCATATATGAATTCTGTTAATACTAAAGTCAGTGAGATGTGGTCGGTTCTTGGGAAAATGTTGCTAATAACTGAAAGTTGTCTTTATCAAGATTGCAAATAACTAGCATTAACTGTATGATCTTTTACAATGTGTTATACACTTCCCATGTTGTATCTTTTCAATAAATGGAAATAGGAGTTCAGTTTTTAGGGCTGTCATAAGTAGTGCATTCATTTAAAATATGTTTAAAATAGCAAGAAATGGATCGGCATGGATAGTATTCTTTTTTAGTTTAAAATTGACAAATACTCATATTAGGGTAACTATATTTTTTTTTATAGCAGATATGGTGAGTCTCCAAAAAGGCCCAGAAAGAAAAAGGCAAGAGTAAGTGAAAAAATAAAATTAATATTTTTTATACTTTACTTTAGTTTCTTTTGTACAATCAACACTGTAGAAGTAATAAAATATTTCAGTGTTAACAGTTTGATAAAAATAACTCATTACATAATGGGAAATCTGCTTTAATTTATATTTCAGCTCAAATGGTCTTAATTTTAGGCTTTTGCCACATCAAGTAGATAAAATGCAAACAAACATTAAAAACATATTGATACATTTTAAAACTGGGTAATCTTTAAAAAAATTTCATTCTAATCCAATTGAAGAAAATTGTTACTAAATCCCTATTTTTGCTGCCCTCCCCATCTTGGCTTTACTTGTTTATGTAAATCCCAGTGGAAGATTCAGTAGTTTCATTATTTAAATTTAGAGAAATTAGATATTTTATGAGAAGAGTCTTCATGCTATGGAATAGGGTTAAAAAACCCCCCAAATGAACCAAAAATTGTATTGCTTCCTTTATCCAGGGCACTGTCAATTGTCTGTTTAGATTGTGAGCACTTAAGAGCAGTGACCATTTCTACTTAGGAACTAGATTGTTTATCATTTTGTTTATCATTTTTACATTGCAGATATTTGTAATAAAAATAATATAAAGTGAATCCTGTACACTTTATATTCTGTGTTGTAATTGAAATCAATATATTTGAAAATGTAGAAAAACATCCAAAATATTTATGATAAATTTCATTTGGTATTCTATTATTGTTTAACAGTATGATTAAAACTGCGATTAATCATGATTAAATTTTTTGAGTTAATCGCATGAGTTAACTGTGATTAATCAACAGCCCCAGTATAATTATTTTTTTGTACATTGGATTGTTGCTGTGACTTTAAGCTACAGAAAAGAATTGGGAATTATCTTTTTGGAAAGCAAGATTATGCTGAATTATGAAGAGCTCATATAGAACTAAAATGACAGAAGAAGATGGATGTGGATAGGGTGGAGAAGGGATTAATGGATTGATTTACCTGTGGCAGTAAAGCATGGGAAGATATGCTTTCTGGTTGTGAAAATATCTAGTAGATGTTAAACTCCAGAGCAGAAGAATCTATGGACTATGAATAAGGTAAATCCCACTGGACACTTGATGCAAACAACCTAATGTTTTTCTATCAACTTTTTATTAAATTTTTAATTTAATTTAATAGCTCACCTTAAGTGATCACTCTCGTTACAGTGTGTATGGTAACACCTATTGTTTCATGTTCTCTATGTATATAAATCTCCCCACTGTATTTTCCACTGAATGCATCCAATGAAGTGAGCTGTAGCTCATGAAAGTTTATGCTCAAATAAATTTGTTAATTTCTGAGATGCCACAAGTACTCCTTTTCTTTTTGCAAATACAGACTAACACGGCTGCTACTCTGAAAACAGAAAAAAACATAAACTATATATAAACTCGTCATAATGCGTAAACTTCTCGTAATATATTAATCATGTGCTACCTTATTTTAGCTATACTTGAAACATTTAATTATATATAATATGAATGGTTACAAATAATTTTATTTATATTTTATTACTCAGTTAACAAACAACTGAAAGTTGTTTATAAAAATCCAGCAAGCTATAGGGAATTTATTAAAATAAGATAAAAATAGAAGCAATATTCAGAGAAGGGGGATAAAGACAGGGAGGGAAGGAAGTTGGTTGAGAGAGAAGGGGAAGAAAAAGAAGAGGCCCGTGAATTTGAGAGTCATTCAAATACTCCCAGATGAGCATCCCATATCTGAGAGTTTTTCTAGGGTATTTCTGTTGTGGAATACAATTCTTTTCATAGTGGCCAAGTTTATGATATCTATGCTCCAGTCTTCGTTTCCGTTTTTGTAGTACTAGTCTTTTAGAAGTTTGGTGCTCCGCTGAGCCAAAGTTTTTTCAGATGTATTCAGCTTCCAATTAACATCCATTAGGTTTAAGATGACCTGTTTAGCTTGTAACACAATTTTATTTGATAGGAAAAAATTAACTCTGCATTGTGCCAAAAGCATTGGTAAAGTAGCATTCCCAGAGCATATGGGTTAAGTTAGCGTCTGCTGTCAGTTTCAGAATGGAGAGAGGTAAATAATGGTGTCCCCCAGGGGTCTGTTCTGGGACCAGTCCTATTCAACATATTCATAAATGATCTGGAAAAAGGGGTAAACAGTGAGGTGGCAAAATTTGCAGATGATAACTATCTTTAGTAATTTTGTAAGACCCAGGCAGACTGCAAAGAGCTACAGAAGGATCTCTCAAAACTGGGTGACTGAGCAACAAAATGGCAGATGAAATTTCATGTTGATAAATGCAAAGTAATGCGCATTGGAAAGCATAATCCCAACTATACATATAAAATGATGGGGTCTAAATTAGCTGTTACCAGTCAATGGAGTCATTGTGGATAGTTCTCTGAAAACATCCACTCAATGTGCAGCGGCAGTCAAAAAAGCAAACAGAATGCTGGGAATAATTAAGAAAGGGATAGATAATAGGACAGAAAATATTATGTTGCCTCTATATAAATCCATGGTATGCCCACATCTTGAATACTGTGTGCAGATGTGGTCACCCCATCTCAAAAAAGAGATATTGGAATTGGAAAAGGTTCAGAAAAGGGCAACAAAAATGATTAGGGTTATGGAACTCCTTGCTGGAGGACGTTGTGAAGGCCAAGAGCATAACAGGGTTCAAAAAATAACTAGATACATTCATGGAGGATAGGTCTATCAATGGCTATTAGCCAACCTGGGCAGGGATGGTGTCCCTAGCCTCTGTTTGCCAGAAGCTGGGAATGAGTGACAGGGGACAGGTTACTTGATGATTACCTGTTCTGTTCATTCCCTCTGGGGCACCTGGCACTGGCCACTGTTGGTAGACAAAAAGAAAAGGAGTACTTGTGGCACCTTAGAGACTACCACAAGTACTCCTTTTCTTTTTGCGAATACAGACTAACACGGCTGTTCCTCTGAAACCTGTTGGTAGACAGGATACTGGGTTAGATGGACCTTTGATCTGACCCAGTAGGACCGTTCTTATGTCCTTATGAATCACAGTGCCTACATTTATCTGATGTAGTGGCACGTGGTTTGAACAGTTTGAGAGGGGTCCAATGCATTTCTAATATGATTTTCTGCTGGATTAATCTTAAAAGGAGGTCTAAGAAACAGGTCAGAGCACTGGTTAAAATTTGTTTCCATTGTTTAACAGAGCTGGAATAATTTGTCTAGTTCCTCCTCCCATTTCTTATTTAGGGAATCAGTGTTTAATTAAAATTTCTTGGCCAAGTGTGCATGTACTGTTGCCATAGGTTTTGGCAATCTGAGTAATATTTGGAGAAATGGGTAGGGGGTAGTGCAGGTATTGGGGCCAAACAGATGGGAGATGGCATGTTTAAATTGGATATATTGCCACTTCTTCTTAGTCTGTAGACTGAAACTTTCTCTTAGTATTGTAAAAGGGAAAAAGGTATAATTTTCAATAAATTGACTGACGGTCAAAATCCCTTTTCTAATCCAATCTGGCCCGATGATGGGGTTGCCAGCTCTAGAGTTTTGAGTTACTGCAGCTAGATGCTTTGGTATGTAGAAGAGGGTGGTTTTTAGATTTAGTAGACTTGGTATGCCATGTATTTCTGGCTGCCACAATAGTTGGTAATTGTTCTTTAGGGAATCAATAGTAATCCAAGTGCAGCGCATTGGAAAGTGGTAAAGGAACAACCAATTCTTCTTCCATCTGGACCTAATCCAGGATTCTATAGCATAAGGGAATGAGCCACTGTGTTTCTGGCTAAGAATTATTGCATGATGGTAAAGTTTAAAGTTCAGAAATCTAAAATCACCTGTTTTGACAGGGGCTGTAACTTGGTCAGGAGATTCTGGGTTTGTTACCAGCACCCCACAAGAAGGACCTGAACATGGTGTCTATTTTGGTAAAATAAAATAGGAATGTGGATAGGGAGGAAATTCAGCATAAAAGGATTCTAGAAAGGGCATTCATTTTGATTTTGTTTTTTCCCCCAAACAGGGAGAGGTAGTATCTGTCATCTATTTAAATCATGATTAATAGGGGCTTGACTATGTTTTTAATTTAATTAGGGAACAGGATGTCCAAATATCTGAGGTGCATCTGTTGCCATCTAAATATCCCAATAGGAGAGCTACTGCCAGCTAAATCCAATAAGGTCTTCATTGTTTCCGACTTATCCCAATTTATTTTGTAGTCAGATAATTTACCAAAGTTATCTATTGTTTGTACAATATTTGAACTAGCTTGATCCGGATTTTTAATCAATAGGAGGATGTCATCTGCATATAGAATAATTTTTGTCTCTGGAGGCCCTGATTTGATCCCTTGAATCCCTTGGTTCCCTAATTAGTTCTGCATGTGGTTCTAATGTTAGATTGAACATGGTGGGGCAGGGTGAGGGACATCCCTGTTTAGTTCCCTGAAACATATCAGAGAGGGGGGATATTGTGCTGTTTGTTAGAAGATGAGAGTTGGGATTGGAATATAACAGCTTGATCCATGAAATAAAGGATTTCCCCAACACAAATTTATCCAGGGTAAGAAACAGATATGTCCAGTTCACTCTGTCAGAGGCTTTCTATGCATCAAGTGAAATGATTGCATGGGAATTTCAGGACTGATGCTGGAATGCCATAACATTAATCAACAGATATGTGTTGTCTGCACTATGTCTTTTTAATAAAACACAGTGATTGGGGTGAACCAAATCACTCATTACTTTTTCAAATATCTTAGCCAATATTTTTGAGTATTTTTATACCAGTATTGATTAAAGAGCTGAGTCTATAACTGTAAGACATTTGTACATCCTTACCAGGTTTACGTAGTACAGTAATTAGGGCTTCCCTCATAGTAGGAGGTAATGTACCTTTCTTTAAGGCATCTTTGTAAATATTTAACAGCTTAGGGGCTAGAATATCTTTGAAACTTTGATATAATTCTATCAGAAGGTCATTAGGGCTGGTGGTCTTGC